GAGCGATGGCTAAAGAAGCAGTAACCCTTCTTGCAAGGTTGGCGGCTTATTTGGCAAGCACATGTTTGTGGCAGCTTTCTGGGACCAGCTGGCCATGCCTTTGGGTTTGGATGGGGCCGGATCTGAAAGCATTTAGGGGCCATTTTGCACGCAGCTAGCAAGTAATTAGGGGCAACCGTAAACCTGTGAACAGTCATGTACAAAAACTATCCGTCACTGTCAAAGGCCTTTTCTGCAACAGGTTCTGGAATCACCAGAAACGTGTTATCGAAACACATACAAATGGGTGTCAAAATTATCGATTTTCACCCCCCCTTTGCATTCAGCCTTTTGTGGTCGCGCCGTCCTAGACATGGGCAAAGGCATTGCGCGCGGAAGCCGAATTACACATTTCTCAATCATTTGCAGCTGTTGAAGCTCGAGAAGTTGTTTTGGTACAGAAAATCATTTGCGACAATAGAATGGCAACCTCACAGTCATTTTGTCCAGCATACGGATTGCCCAATCAGGGCAACTCTAATGTGTTGTTTCCTTTTTTCCCTACCCGAAAACATGTCTAATCTGCCCCGGAATTGGCGCCCCCATTTTTGTTTCTTTTTCGGGGTCCCCTTTGTTTTCCACTAACCAGGCAACAAGCATAGTTGTTTCCGGGGTCCTAATTCCAGCCAAGAAATATTTTGGTTCGTCGGGTCCCTGCGGCCCAGCTTTGAAATTGCCTTCCGATCGATCCACGCCAGGCACCCAAGGCTCGAAGCGTTTTTGGGGTGCCGTGGGATGCCGAAAGAATTTTGGGACCCGTGACGTGGAGCTTTGGTTGTTCAACGTTTTTTGTGCCATTAACCCATGATTCTGCTCATTGTATAGCGAGCTGGGGGCAAAGCGAGCTCACCATTCATGATGCAGGCCCTTTCTAAGGTTAGATTGTTTTCCCCGGCCACCCATCATTCTCTCAGTTGTCCAAAGCCATTTCGGGTTTGACATTTAGTTTTTGGTTTTGCCCGTGTTGCTTTCTTTCATTCGGGACCCCAAAAGGTGATCAGCTTTTCTTTCCGGGTCCCCAAAAGGCTGAGTCAGAATTCACCCATTTGCCCATCTGCTTTTGGCCCAGCTGAGAAGGATTCCTGAGAATGGGACGGCGCAAAAAAGACGCTTTGGGACTCTCATTCGCATCTGGGCTTTGTCCTGTTTTCATTCACATTGCCTATGCTTCATTTGCATTTACATTGCCTTTGTTCTATTGGAGCTTGGTCGTGCGAACAGATCTCCAGCTTTGGGTCATCGTTGACCGTTGACCGTCAGCCCGCCAACCACTGCTTGCTCCAATGTTACTTCCAAGCTCTTTCCAGAAATCATTCTGTAAGAGTCATTCACTTAGACAGTCCCAGCCATTTGGTTTCTGGCATTGTTAATGCAGGTCAGAACAGCCTTGACGAAGCCTTGAGCCCGGAGAGCCCGATTTATTTGATCAGCAGATGTCTTTGTCTTTTGGTTTTTTGTTTTTGCATGTATTGGATGCAGTACGGTTTTCATGTGTGCGAGAGGTTGAAGATTCAGCAGAGATTGCAGACGACAGCGTGAGTGTGCAGACTGCGGAAGCAATGTCGGCGAACGATGTGCATGAAGTTCGTGACAGACCTTTAGACCCAGAGTTGGTTCAACAGTGGGCAATGAATGAGCAGGACTTCTTTGAGCGAGGGACCATCAGCAAGCGAGACGCGGGTCTATGGGGTCGATGCCAGTGCGGTTAAGTTTCGGTCATGGAACCCCATCCGCGCCCAAACATTCCCTTAGATTGAACAAAACCACGTGTTTTTCTTCTTTTTTTGAATCTCCCCTCCCCACGGTCCATCCCACAGGATCTCGGCCCCGCGCTCGAAGACTATGAGGACCCGGTTCTGGGGAAGAACTTGCAGGGGATTTTTTAGAACAGGTCACCAAGAAGCAGTGCAGGACAGAACTACGTCCTGAAGTACTACCAGAGTTTGTATGTGTGTATGTTTTGTTTTTTTTGAAGATATACTCCTCTCATTAACATGAACCGCCGCATCTGCCGAGGGGCTGCCCTCTGCCATGTGCAAAGCAAATACCCTCCGGTGCCGAACCCTCAACCAAAAGGTTCGTGATGCAGCCCTCATTCTCTGGAGTTCTCCTTACTTCCATTTGGTTAAGATTTTTCCCCTGTTGGTTTTAACGGGAATCTATCACCACTGGAAATTATTTTGTATTTTTTCAGGGGACTTAAGCAAATGGAGGCTTGCGTGATTTACATTGGTACTGAAAAAACCCCTCGGGGCCCTTGGGTAGATGACATTGGCGATGTTCCTTTTCGCTCGCAGCTTCCACTGGCTTACGGCTGAGGTAAGCCGTGTCTGAAAGAAGAGGTATGTACTTCTCGAATCAAAGAGCACCTTAGGAAAAGGGGAAGTGACCAAGTGCCCTGTTTTGCTTGGATTACAACCTCCGTTTTTAGAAGGAAACTATACCCAAAGTAGGAAGCCCAATGGAAACCCTCGTGCTTGGATCGAACAGTATTACAGCAAAGTGTGAAACATAGACGCTTGACATGTAAAAGCGACGCACAAGGCGCGCCCTCCACCAACACCCAAAAAAAGGGCTGGTTCCCTTTCCCGAGGCCAGCCAACGGTGGGTCAGTTCAAATTCGAGCAAACATTATGCCCGCTGTTTCACCACAGAGACACACGGAGCCTTCCTTGTAATAGCCCTTTGTCAAGATGAGCACTTCGAGTTCAAGAGAGCATACCCTCCCCATTGCTTTCATTGGTGTGCTGGCTAGGCGGTCTAGCCGTTTGTCAGGAAGCCGTCTCATATATATGGACCGATGGGAATCCGAGTGGCCATGGTCTTTTCATGGGGTCTGAAAAGGGGCGGAAAGTTCGTGGCTTGGTTTGCCTCGTGCCTCTTGCGTTCTCATCACAGGGTCTCGCGGATGTGACCTGAAGGATAGCTACTTACAGGGTGTCCACTGAGCGTTGTGGAAGTGCTTGCAAGGGCGACCAAACCCGTGAATAAACAGAAGGGGGGATCTTGCAGTTGCAGGTTGCACTTGAACAGCGGTTGTTCAACTTGCTACATGTGGGTATGGGTCAAAACTAAGCCACCAGGGGCCCGCAGGTTTTAGTCAATGGTTCATTTGCCAGGGCAACCCATTTTTGGTGCCAATCTTTGATTAGTTGCGATTCGTTGGAGACAAACCCCAGATTCCTCCCATTCCCGGAAAGCGGTAAAGAATTCTGCCATAGGCCTCTGGCAACCCTAAGTTGGGGGTTTCCACCCCCAAACCGTTTCCGTACTGGCTTCCTGGGATTCATACCCTTCATGTAGTTGCTTGCTTTGTGTGTGTGTGTGTGTCCATCTATCCCTGCGGATCCCAGTTACCACTATGATACTTGATTGCTATTGGGTTGCAGACTTTCCCTTTTTAGGAAATGTTGGGTCTTCCATTGAACCCACAAAGAATGAAGAACTGTTAGAGGGGTCAACAGCAAAAAAAGGTAGTAAACCATCCATTTTCCTTTGCTTGCTGGTGTTCAGCACGGAATGTGGGAATGAACCCGGGCTTTGGTCCCCTTGGGGGCAACCACCAGTTGGATGGTTTATCTTGGGGTCATTCCATTTCACAGTCCCTGCATCTCTCACACCGATCGCATGTATCTGTTTTAGTTTCCCTCTTTGCTAGTTTTAAATGGTATCATTTTCACTGGACATACTTTTCACCACTGTCAATTAGCCTATTCCTCATTTCCTCATTCTCATTTTCAGTTTCATTCCCTCATTCCCTGCCTATCGCACCAGCAAGTCTTGGCTTTTCAACTCAGTTGTTTAGTCGCACCAATTGTTTCCCCTATTTTTTGGGGTGGCCCCACTAAAAATGGTCTTCCCCTTTTAAGGGGTTCCCTTTTGTTGCCAGGGTCACTGAACAGCTGAGTTGAAAAGCCAACACTTGCTGGTGCCATAGGCAGGGCATGAGGGAATGAAGCTTAAAATGACAATGAACTGAGAAAAATGGCTGGTGTACAGTGGTGAACCAAATATGTCAGTCAACACCTCCCTTTCGCCTCCGGCTCGATCCGCTACATCGAGATCGAGGACTTGGTGAGGATGCTGCTGCAGCGGGGCACGCAGAGCATGGCGCCCAAGGTGGCCAAGGCGGTGCAGGCGCAGCGAGCGATTCGCCTTGCCGAGTCCTGGTTCTAGTTTAGAGAAAGCCTGGGTTTGCCAGAACCCTCAAGGTTCTAATTTGGGCTGGTTGAAAATGAGTTGGAATGGATGTTTTCGCAGGGAATGAGTTGGGATCCGGAGTGGACTGACCAGGAATGACCCCGAGTGGATCCGGATTCTAATTTGGCTGGTTCCATGGGAACCCCGAGAGAAACTGGTGGTCTCCTTTAAGGGGACCAAAGCCTGGGTTCATTGCCCACCCAAGGTCATTCCCTGCCTGTCGCAGCAGCAAATATTGTTACGCCGATTCTTTTGCCGATTCTTTTTGGCTCCGAATTTTAGAATCGGATGATTCTCATGTTGACCCCATATGACTCAACCCCAGTTTGTTAATATCATAGTCTATACTCCCCTCCCCCCAATGCCAACCCCCACAAAATGGCCAAGGTTTATCAAGTGTTAGGAAGCTAAATAGACCATGAATAAGCCTTATACAAGGGGCCTCCAAATGAGGCTTATTCATGGCTTTGAGGTGTTTAAAAACAGGCCTGATTTGATTGTTGTTTGCCTCGATGAAGCCTTGTTGCGGGTTCTTGCGGCAATGTGGCTTGGAGTGTTCAAACAAGCCTTATTTAGATGTTATTTTGCTTGAGGAAACTGAGTCGGGTTCTTGCAGTTCTTGCAGTTCTTTGATTAGGTTTGCCATGATTCAAGGATCTGGAAGAATGGTTTTGTAGCTTGCCAGCCATGTCATATCATCAGCGTGGCTCAGGTCTGTAGGTCTAGGCAACCCTCATCAGCTTCAATAATAGATTGCTCAGCATACTTTTTGGCACCATGCAATGATGATTTGACATTCTCCCTTCGCCTGAGTAGCCATCACAAACATTTTGGCAAATGCTGCTTCAGCAATGACAATGGACAGTACTATTGCCGAAGCTGGAGAAATTGACGGATTAGGGGGGTGGGACCCCTCCAAAAGTGGTCTGATTCCCCACTTGACCCAGGCACAGATGAATATGGGGTCAACATCACTTGCTTGGTTTTGGCAAGACAAATTCCTATAAAGACCAATAAAAAGACCTTGATAGCAGGAAGTGGATCGGTTGCTCTTGTGCCCAGATCCCCCAAGGCCGCAAAACCGCAGAATGGATTTCGGGCTTTTGATTTAGGGCTTTTGACACTCCCCAACGGCTGTCTTTCTTTTTTTTGTGACGTGGCCTTTTCGAGGGAGTGTTTCTGTTTGGGGAACAGGAAACTCCAACGGGCGGTCCACTGTCCACCATTTTGAGACACAACACAAGTTCCCTGCAAGTGGTTGGGAACATCACTTGGGCCGATTGAAACTACTGTGTCCTTGTGATGTTTAGGCGAGAAATCTACGAAGGGTCTGAGACTGGGGGTCCTAAGGGCGGTCATTTTCAACAAAGCGGCTGACACATACAGAAGCACTGTTTAAGATACATCTAAAGGGGCTGTCCAATATGGAAGCAAATTATGTTGGTCCTGTCTAGGGAATGTCCCAGGATATACATATATAGGTTATAGGTGGGACCCATATATCCACGTCGGATATGCAAGTTGAAACTTAGACTTGTGCATGGTTTCCTAGGGTCCTCTGTGCCTGTGTTTTGATGTTTTCCCAAAGTAACACTTCATACAACGTGGCGGGGCTAGACACTGAAGCGCTTTTTCCTTCAACCCACCGCTGGCGGGGTGACTCGCCAGAATCACCCAGTTGCAACCGTTGGGTGCGCAGCGCTGCGCATGTTTACCTTTGGCTTGGTGCTTGGGATTTGTGTCAGAATGGGCAAAGGGAGTACACGGAGCCACAGCAGGGGGAACCGTTGCAACCTAAGAGTGGCTAGACTATGAGCTCTTGGGGAGCATCAGGGACCATCAGAATCAGTATTGGACTTGGAACATGCAGCCACAACGACAGGGATTCAAGCACTTTGGCTTCGCCGAAACTTGTTTGTTCATTGGCCCAAAACGTGCATAGGTTTATACCGCTTCCTTGGTTAGCAACCTACACTTGAGAGGGGCACCGCCAACTGCAAGCCTTTCAGGGGCTAACGTTTAAGGGGTACAATCCTCCTAATTCCAGTCAACCATTTCTTGGGCTAACCCAAGTTTCCCTTTGACTTCCCCAAGTTCTTAGTGCCACGAAGATCCTTCTGTGCCCTGGGTTATGATGAAATAGTGTGTTTGTTTTAAGCACATCCTTTGATTGAACAAAGAGCCACAGAAAGAAGAAGGAAAGCGAGACATAGAGAAAGAAGAGACACCAAAAAAGAAAGAACAAATGAACAACAAAAAATCAAATGGAACAAGGAACTATGACAAACAGCAAGAAGTGACAAAGAAAGAAGACAATAAATAAATAAACAATAACTATAGAAGAAAACATGTTTGGAACACTTCCGCACACCGGCTTCTCCGGATCTAGTGGTAAGGACAGGAACCTTCGGAAACCTGCTCTTGCAAACTTCAGCTTGCAGATCTACCACTGCAGCCCTTATTGTCAGATCCCAATCTGACACGTGGAAGGTTGGTTTTCCTTTGGTTTTCCCTCAAGTCAGCTTCCCTCTGATGGGTGGTTCGGAGTGTCGTGTCCTCTTCTCTTCCCTTCGCTCGTGTAAAATGACTCGCAGGTGGCCAGCATCATCAGCGACCGTGTGAGCTCCCTGACAACAAAAGCCAAGGCTGGGCGGCTCACCGAGTGGGTTGCTTTCTTTGTCTGCTCTGCTTTTAAGCAGGGCCCCTTAAAAGATACATTTTGCCAATGGCTTTTTCCACCAAACTAAAGGGAAACCACCATTTACAAGGCAATGTTCAGGCGTATAATGTAAGGATACCTGTTAAGCATTGGCTTCAGGACACAGACAAGGTGACGCCAACTCCAAAAAAGGGCCCCTGTTTTCCTCATGGCCGTTGGGGCATTGACGGGTGCTGGGCAAATGATATAAAGTGGCACGTTCTGGGGTTGCAACCACAGGTTTGTATGATCGGGTTCCCTTGCTTTCGGGCGAACTACTTGATTGAGCAATCCGCATGGTGGGCAACATGGGTGTGAGGTTGCCACTTTCTGTAAAGGAAGTCCGCTTCAAAATGATAATGTTGTCATGGGAACTTGGTATCACCAACAAGTTATTCAAGTTTGGTGATAATGAACAAATGCAAGGTGACAGTTGTTTGTTTTGAAGCATTTAAATACCAACCCTGAAATGAAACATTTGCTGTCACCGCTATGACCACAAATCCATATCCACGGCAAGCGGCTGCACTGTACAGCACCGGCTATATTTATTCTTTTGGTTTTAAGCATCAATGTTTCGGTGAATTTCAAGGTGATAAATCAAACTTGGAAACATACGAAGCCCGGTACTGGAAAGGCCCACTTATTTAAGATGTTCATTGTGGTCAAGGGACCCCTTTGGACCCTTTGGAATGAGACCTTGTTTGGTCTCATTGGGCCAGCCCCGGGTCCCGCTTTGTCGGGCGCCCTTGACACATACTGAACATGTGTTCTGTTTTTTGTCGCGGAAAACAAGCAATTTCCTTTGAAGAGACAACGATGTTCTTCGAAGAGACCCTGCGCCGACTTGTCGAAACCAACCTGCAAACTTTCAAGTTTGATTTGTCGTCGTGTAGTGGCAGGAACCCAAATCATCGCCACTTTTGAAACCCTGGGATTTCAATCCGCCCTTTGGATTGCTTCCTAGCAAGAGTTGGATGCGGGGGCTGTGAATGGACAAGAGAGACATGGAGAAAGAGATGGGACTTCCTTGACCATGTCAATGAGACCAACGCAACTCGTTTTTGCAGGGGGTTCTAGACCACCACAGTCCATGGTTGTATATTCTGCAAAAATTGGGGCACCTGGGCAGGGATGTGGATCCCTTCTCTCCTGCGGGACAGGAACTTGCAAGAAGGATCTGAAGCTTTCCGAGGGGGGAAAAGATCTTGCCCAGAGCATCCCAGCTGGTATAGTCTAGCAATTAGGCAAGCCATTTTCCTCTTTGTGTGTGAATGGCAGTTCACTTGGTTCCCAATTAAAAAAAAAACGAAATTACATGGTTCTCAGCAGAGAATAAGAAAATCACCCCTTACGAACCATCCCCTTATGCTTATAGTTTCCCGGGAGATCCATTGGTTCATTCCCAAAGCCTAGACTATGTAAGACGCAAGCTAAGACTAGGTCCCCCAGTTCCCTTTTACCGTTTCTTTGGGGGGAGGGTTCCCCTACTAAAACAGACTACAGAAAAAGATCGGGTACGAACTTATTCTAAGCTCTCTACTGGAGTCCTAGAAGACTGGCCAAGCAAAACTCGCTGAGGGTCCTGCGACAGGCGCTGGTGGTCACTGAGCTCACAGACACGGTGGGCTCCATTGCGCAGTCCCTGCAGCTTGAGGACCGATTCGGGGCATGAGCTCAACACTGGGTGGTTCCCAGCGAATCCTCCGGTTCCGTGTTTTGCGTTAGGTTTCTAGTTGGTTTAGCGGTTGGGTTTCCATTTGTATAATTGACCCACTAAAAGTGAAGCTTCTAGCACGGGATCTGAGGACAGCCCAGAAAAGAAGGGCGCGAAAAGGTGTATTCTAGAAGAGAACCCCTGGATTCCTTGCGGAGGGTACAAAAACTGAGCTGGGAAGGCCACCGCGTTTAGCGTGTTTGTTTCTCCGGGGTTGCTTCAAACTTGAAAGTGGTCCAGCAGATTGCCAGCCGGTGTGCCATCCTATGTGGTCATGACGGGTAGTTGGCACGGACCCTGCAAGAATTCAATCACGAAGGCCAACATGAAACAGGCAATTTGTGTACAGGCAAATGGGCCACTTGTCACTAGAACTGGACCCTCAGGTGGCCACATCTCACAATGGGGGTCGATGTTTTAACGAGGCAAACTACGTATCATGAGCTTACCTCGAAGTAATGCGAGCTCGCCTTGAAGGCCTTTTGCTTGGGATACCTTATTTGCTTAGATGATTCGTTCAGGGCCTATTTCGGGACGCAGCTGTGTTATTCCATCGTTGTTAGCTCAAACATCAACATGTGTAGGACCTTGACATAGCAATGCTGGACCCCTGATTAAGCTCCCCCACCCCCATGAATCAAGCCGTTCCTCCGGAAGATGAGAACTCACACAAAGACACAACTCCCACAATGAAAAAGTGAGGGGTCAAGGTGGGCTTTTGTGCGGCATGTCTAAGGAAATGGCTACCCTGCGAATGTGCCCTAACCATTTTAACTGGGATCATGGGCGATGTGAGGGATACACCAGGGTATTTATCAGGGGCACGGACAAAGCACCTTGTCTTTTTCCTTGATCGATGTGGCGCGACTCTTCAGGAGTTTATGCTGCTGTTGGACGATGTCGGGATCTGAGAGTCGCTTGCTCCAGTGAGTCGAAATCCGGCCAAGTGCAACCCTTGGAGCCATGGTCTTCAGAAAATACGTGTCAGTTTGCGCTTAAGCTTGGCTAAACATGAAGCTTCCGTTTGTCATGCTGGAGCGGGTTCCCTAAATCAACTTCCAACGGGCTTATTGTTTCTTTCAGGATCCAGCGAAGTTGCGGGAACGTAGGGGGAGGTCAGAAAATATGGTAACATACGTGTTTGTTCGTTTTACGGTAAATTGAACATTCACACGATTTGTTTTTTTCTTCACACCTGCGTGCTTTTTTTGTTGGAATCCGAACGAGCACTGTGCAATACATTGAATGCGGCCACAGATGGTCGCTGTTACGTCAGTGACCGAGGGTTAGCAAAGCTCTGCCTGATTGATAGGCGGTGTCTCATTTTTAAAGGGAAACCCTCACTTCTTGGCAAACCCACCCCTAATAAATCCGTTGGAAGACAAGCTGACACGAAAAGAGTGGCTCAGCTGAGGATGCGGCGCTGGCGGCAAATGTGCCGCCAGTGTCGGTGCTGCTGGCGGGGCTGTTGGTGCCAGCACGTTGCCCCAGTGGAAGCATTGCCAGACGTGTGTGTTTCCGTTTTGGACTTCTAGGTCTCCCAGTAGTGCCCTTTTGCCCTTTTTTGGGGGGAGGGTTCCCCTACTAAATTAGACTACAGAAAAAAGTGTAATTACCCTTATTCTAACCTCTCTACTGGAAAACCTAGTGTTCATTCTCCAGCTTCCTCATTCCGCCGTTAGCTTGAAAGGGACGTCGACAGTTCCCGACCTTTTCCCTTTGGCGCTGGTGAGTTTGCTTCATTTCCCCTTCAACCAGCCAACAGTTGTCACTTTCTGGGTCCGGACCAGTCAAGGAGTCCTTTTGGAGCGAGCCTAGACCTTAGGATCTTTTCCTTTTCGACTGGGGTGGGCCTTTGGTTGACCTTGACTGCTATTGGGGTTCTTTGTCCTGCAAGTTGTGTTTGTTTGTTCCAAGTAAGCAAACAAAGTTGGACTTTTTTGCACTGGGGGCAAACTTCAAGTGACTGAAGCGAATCGACACGACTGGACCGAACTTAGAAACGCATTTCAAGGACGTTTTGAGTGGCCTCTTTGCATTGCCAGACTTGCACTGTTTGCCCTTTGGCCCTGTTGGTGTCCTTTATTCGAGTCTGTGTTTTTGTTGGGGGCACACCCCAACATGGATTTCGGTTGTCCTTTTGGTGTCCCTTCAGATTCAAAACCACCAAAAAGGGGTACCCTCAAAAACGACGAGCCACACATTTTGCTTTTGAATGAGACAGATAACGCTTGTTCAGGGCGTCTGATCCGTTTAGCCCGTCACAACTTCTTCTTTCAGCGCAAGACAAAGATCCCCAAAACGTAGGAGGGTCGGTTGCAAAAGTAACATATTCGCATGAGAGAACATGATAAAATATAATATCAGGTAATATATATATATATATGGTCCCGTGTTCCGTGTTGCTACCCCCCCCCCCCCCATATGGTATGGTCCCCCAGGACCCCCCCCCCCGGCCCGAGACCCCGAGCCCCCGGATCCTGGCACCTACGGTCCCACCCCCACCCCGACCCCCTGAACTCGCACCCCGACACCCCGGCACCCCCACCCCCAGGACAAGCCAACCCGCAACCAACCATAAACCAACCCTAAACTAACCCTAAACCAACCCTAAATACACCCTAAACCAAACCCTAAACCGTAGACCTCTAAACCTAAACCAACCCTAAATCAACATAAACCAACCCTAAACTAACCCTAAACCAACCCTAAATACACCCTAAACCAAACCCTAAACCGACCGTACACCTCTGAACCTAAACCAACCCTAAACCAACCCTAAATCAACATAAATCAACCTAAATCAACCCTGAACCAACCCTAAACTAACCCTAAATACACCCTAAATATACCCTGAACCAATTCTAAACCAACCCTAAACCACCACAACCCAACCACAGGACCACAACCACAGGGGGGGGGGTACTTGCTGACCCATGACCATTGGGGGGGGAGGGGGGGGGCTGGCAACGCTGTACCATATATATATATATGGGAATATAGAACACATTGGATCCATGCAGGATGATCAATGTACACACATGCTTGCTGCAATGCCAACATTGCTTGTTTCATAAGGGGTCGGTAATACAGACTGACTAAACAGCGTGTTAGCAGCACGGGGAGTCTCGAGTCTCCTGAATTTGCTCATGTTGATCGGTCGGCTGGCGAGAAAAGCCAACCAAATACCAATCCAAGAGTCCAACAGGAAGGCGGATGAGGGAGAAACAAAAGAACCAAGCAACGAAATAGAGGAGTTTTGCGGAACGCGGTAAAAATGGAAGTATGACGCCCACGCTTGCATTTGGCCGGAGGCCGCGCATGTACATTCAGACTACTGCTGAGCACTTTGCGGCCTGGTTTTTGCATGCCTTGTCCGTAGTAATAGGCCACTCGGGCGTCACAAAAGGATGTTCCGCTACGACCAACAACTACTCAGCAGGGAATGAGGGAACGCCCCCCATGAACCATTTGCGTTTATGGGAATTCCTAGATGCACTCCCAACACGAAAGCCCTTTCCCATTCAGAACCGGCAAGGAGCGACGGGCACGGGGCAAACGTCTCGCTCAGGCGAACCTGAACTTCACCATCCTTTGCCCGGGCGCACGGAGATTCCCGCAGCGCGGAAAGAACCAGGTGCTCTTTGGTCCAACTCTTTCTGCACGGATCCCTTGAAAATCAAATGAAGCAAACAGCTGCCCGTGTTTTTTCGCCAATGGCCACGGGCGTTCCATGGGGGGTCTGAGTTTAAGAACCTGACCCTTGTCCCCTTAGGAAACCACAGGGAGCAATCGCGACCTCATGGCAAACGTAACGTAACGCCTGAATATTCAAGAATCGAAACACGCCTAATTTTAGACCGCAAAGGGCCCCAGGTTTGTCACTCAGCCACATGTGTCGCGCCCAAAGCAACCTTTTGCTTGAAGTTGGCATTTCTGGTAGCCGAAGGACACTTCAAGACTTTCTGTTCCGTCCAGCCAAAATCAAGAAGTGACTCGACGGAGGACACCTACACAAGAGGCTTGCTTGCTTCTATGCAGCTCCTACAGGATTCACAGCGCGGCTGTCTTTGCAAACGGCGACGATACAATCGCCATCGTTCTTCGGTGCGATGCGAGGCAGCCTAGCTTCTTTTCCTTTTTGTCAACGGGGCATACATTACCTGGCGGTGTGTGTTCTTGGACGAGAACACGCGGGGTCAACAGACCCCTCTACTTGTGATGAATAGGGGTGGTCATCCAGCTCCTCTTATGGATTCCTAGTACCCATTAGAATGAGTAGACATGACCATTGGACATGTAGATGCTGCTTTTCTGCCTTTTCAGCAAGAAGTACCTTTTGGGGTGCTTGCGGCGCCCTTTTGCGCCTCTGGGCAATTTGCGCGCTTTCCGTTTTCAAGGAGAAACCCTGCAAAATTGAAAAGGCGACTTTTCCCGACCAAAAGGGGACTTTTCCCGACCAACTTTGCAGACATGTTTGCAACAACTGCCAAACGGCGCTTTGGCAATGAAACGGCATTTCCCAAACGAAACAAGTCAAATGTGTTTTTGCTTCTTCAGCAAGAGGCAGAAAAACACATACATGGAAGATGCAGCTAAAGGAGTTTTGTCCAGCTTGCATATATGCAGAATTGCAAAATAAGTAAGGAGATCTTTGGTGCAAAGACGTGACCAGGAGAGACTAATGTTGACCATGGCACAAGTGCTAGTCTTAAATTATCGAAAAGCGTATTGTTTTACTGTTGTTTTTAATGTTGATGTCCCGGATCTACCCCTCCCATCAATAGTCACCTATCTAGCAACTGGCGCCGATCAACGTGTTGCTCTTTGCATCCTTAGGGAAAGGGGTCCTTTTTTTCGCACTCGGTTGTCCCAGAAAGGACAGCCTTTGAAGGAAAGCCCATGGATTTCCCTCCGAAACTCGCACTGGATCACGAACTCGTCCCCGCAAAAGTTGCGAGCGGAACACCTGGGCGAGGGTTCTTCTCACAGCAAAATCAATGGGTCCATACTGTGGATGAACGAAATCTTTGCACCACCTAGAAAGCCTGGAATGATGATTCCCCTGTCAATACCAACGAATGGCTTCAAAGTGGTGCAGGATTTCGTCCATCCACTGTTGAAGGCTGGAGGAAATCTGGAGCAAGGTTCACATCAAGAACAGGGTATATATATATATATATCGTTCCGATTTATCACTTGCCCATGGGAGTTCTCGCATTGGAACAAATCCGGGAATCCCTGGCTCGAAACCTCCGGCAATGCCGACCTCGCTTCCTGAGCTCCTTCGGACTGGATATACTTGTTTGGGGCTTGGACCATTTGAGTGGCCACCAAAAAACGGTTGGTTACTTTTTTGGCCAACCCTGATCCTTCTTTGCGGCAACCAACAAGTTCGGTTACTTCTTTTTCCATCCCACCCAAGAAGTGAGCTGAGAACCAGCGAGTTTGGTATCTCTGACAGCTCCAGGCCACCTCTTGCAAGTGGTGCTGGTGCTGATCCCGGTGCTGGCGGTGGCGGCGGTGTCTGAGCTGCTCGGTGCTGGGCTTCGCTTTTGTTTTTTCCAGGAAGCCAAGCCAGAAAGGTCTTTCTCATTCCCTGAGTTTCTGGACTTGAAGCCGTTTGGGGACACCATTTTAGTGTTAACAAGAAGTTTATACCTTTTTGGTCCATCCACGCAGGAAGTGAGTCCTATTTGCTGGCTCTGAGGGAATTGCTTGGGGGCTCCGGAATGAAGCTGATTCCCAAAAGGCAAAAAGAGATGGTTCAGTTTGGGATCATGCCCTCGTTCTGAGCATTCTGAGAAGGTTCCTTGTGATTGTGCAAGGTGGCGCTCTGTGAACGAATCTGAGAAGATGCAAGGTAAGGCAAGCATTTACAGATGCGGGTATAGTTGCCCTTTCAATTCTTCGCAAGGTTTGGGGAGACTGATTGAAAATAGGTTTCATTGCCTCAACTGGGTTGTTCAAAGTTAATCCTTAATCCTTATGCAAGGTGGTCCACCATTTTAAAGAACCCCGGAAACGGGAAGTTGTCATGGTTGTTGACCAACTGTTTTTGTTTAGTGGCACCTAAAGCAAACGGTGTGAGCGTGTGACTTTCCAATGCAAAGCAAGTGTCTCCAGTTTTGACAGACTTATCATATCTTCACTTACCTGGGCAACAGTTAATGTTTGCCGTCTTTCTACTATAGTACAGTGTTTGAAGGGATGGCATCTCAAAGAACCCAGCTGCAAGGATCACATCAAGACCCAAGACCGCCTGTATTGCCGCTCTCCGCTCGCCGACGAATTCTAGCATTACCTTTTCGACGGTTTGCCTCTTTAGCTTTTCCATCCGTCCCTTTCAAACAGAATCATAGTTTTCCGTGCGAAGTGGGCGCCCATGACCCCACACATTGGATACTCTCATCTCATGAGTTCATTCTACCCGCCCGCCTTGTGGGGGTTGGGCCTCAAGCGAGTTTAACCATCACCTTTTCTGGCTGGTGCGATAGGTAGGGAATGACCCAGGGTGTTGGGAATAAACCTAGGGATTCTGAAAAGACAATCCATGGGGGAGGGTGTATAGGGGCCATTCCCTCATTCCCTGCTGAGAACCAGCAAGTGTTCCCTTCGGTTTCCGGACAGTCAATCAGGTCAATCCCTTCCCAATGATTCCATTTGCGCAGGTCAAGGGCTACCTGGGTAGAAACTAAACGGAACATGGAGTTAGTTGCCTATGGCACCTTGCCGATACGCAAGCCCCCGTACCCCGATTTCGTGGACCTCCAAGGGCATGGAGAGGGAGGCCGGGGTACCTGTTACACAAGAAACAATGCCTCGGCTTGTCCAGAGACCGCACCTACAGCGTTGATTGGCTGGCTTAAAGGGGAAAGGGTGTTTTTTTTGCGCCTAGCTCTGGCACACGGCTAACCCTGGCAGGTGGTTGGTTGGTTGGTTGGTTGGGCTGGGCAATGCAAAAAAAAAAGCCTCAGCTGTTTAAAGGCAGACTAAGAGGAAACCCTTTGAACATGGCTGAGGTACGTGGACTGGAATCACTCCTGCGCCTCCATTCCCGGCTTGAGGCGCGATCGATTGGCACTTGCTGTTTTGATAGATCCCCTGTGACATTTTCCTGGTGTGGTTTTGTTTCAAGGGATCCCACACGGTGGCAGAAAACCCCACAAACAACCTGTTGTGTCCTGAGAACCGGCCAGAGTGGGGCGTTTGGACCCCATGTTCCTTCTGTCGAGCTTTGGCGACTCGGACCTCAAACATCGAAATGTTGCAGCTCGGACATGGCCGTTGTGTGAGGCCAGTTTGTATGGTTTCCCGTTCTGAGCCTTGGACATACGATAAAAATCACCAAAGCCCCAAAAAAGACCAAGTCCTTTTTGCACACCTGGGGGTCTGGGCGGGGTGTCTCCCAACGGTAGATCCCTTTAGTAGATGGCCCTTTAATTTATTGACCCCTCCTATTCGGGAGAGTATGGGGGTGTGTCAACATAGAAGAGACCACATGGCGGTTTTCCTTTTTCTTTTCATTTTCCTTCAGCTCAAAAACCGCACACCCACATGTCACACTTCCACGGGAGCACGAGGCCTTTTCCACCAAAGGTTCTATCTCCAGACGAGCCTTTTCGAAGCATCGGTCAACCTTTTCCAAGATTGGTGCAAGTTGAAACGCAACCTGAAAGGGCACCGCCTATTTTCGCGTGAACTGGGTCCCCTAGTAGTGCCCTTTTACCTTGTTTTTTTTCCGGGGAGGGTTCTCCTAAACTAGACTACAGAAAAAAAAGGCACGCCAGTGGAGGACATAGTGAAAGGAAATGGACGCCCGCTGTCCTTCTTGACGGTCCACGTTTTCGCCAGGCTGTGGGCTCGCACGGTGGGGGCACTCGCGGGCTTGATCGCCCTGGCGCGCGTGCTCCAGGAGACTTTTGGGATGGATCTGCCTGGACGAGTTGCTCTGGCCAATGGGTCTGTTCCCTTTTCTAGGGTACCCCCGAAAGGATGGTGTTCCTTTTGGTTTCCCTTTGACACCACAAAAAGGGTATCCTCAAAACAGACAGATATTTGTTCGAACTCGAAGAGTCTAAGGAAACCCTTCTAAGAACCGCAATGAGGCCCTAATGGGTTGTCGGGCCGCCTTTGGTTCCCGAGAATGGCGAGAGATTCCACTTCAGGCGTAAAACGAGCTTACCACGAAGGCTGCTTTTTTTGGCGATCCATGCCTTACTTCGGGATGTACAATCAGTGTTGAAGAAGATGGTGTTTTTCTTTGGAGGAGGGAAGGAATCGTTTCTAAGCGGAAATCCTACAGAAACAAGGGTGCCCTGATTCTAACCTCTCTACCTAGATTACTGGAGCAACTGCGGAATGGTTGCATTTCGTGGTGCGAACAGATTTCGCCAGACCATCCAGTAGCACTAACTCGACTCTGCTCGCCTCGGCCAGGCTTTGCAGTGCTTCGCCGCCAAGGCGAAATCGCTCGCGCAGACCGCAGACCGCAGAAGCCCCAAAACCCACAGCGAGGCCAAGAGAACCGCTTCAGACCTAAAACTAGGTCTCCCAGTAGTGCCCTTTTACCATTTCTTTGGGGGGAGGGTTCCCCTACTAAAATAGACTACAGAAAAAAGGGTACCCTTGTAGAACACCTAGCTGCTGCTACCTGTACAAGCATTTTGATAGACATGGCCCTGGCTGTGAATTTTAGTAGAAAACCACCTCAAAAGTGAGCAGTGGACAAATTCATCCCCACCTAAATGATGTCCGCCAAAGGGTGCCCCATTGAATTTTACACCCATATCATCATCTTCTGTTGTAAACCCATACAACTTTGTGTCCACGATAGAACCTCCAGTCACAGGCAAAGGGTTTGATAGAGACTAAAGTACTGCCTACAAACAATCTTTATGATTTCACACTTGCCATTTAGATCGAACCGAAACTCAAAGAGTTTCCGCACTCAAATTCGGGTCGAGACCCCCAAAATGACCCGCCTGAAACCTGGCAATGCATGAATTTGAGTACAAAGCCTTTGGCTCTTGGCGGGGATAGCTCAGGGGCCATTGCAGTTGGATGAGAGTAGATGGCACAATTCCGCCATGTTGGTTTAGTCTTTCCTTTAACCTACACGGCTGTGTGTCTTTCTAAGAATGGGTATCGTTTTGTCTTTGGTCTTTAACAGGAAACCAAAAGGAACATCCATTTTAAGTTTTGTGGGTTCCCTAAATAACAGACACACCAATGAGCTGTGTCCATCTAGGTAGGACTGTTTCGACGCGGCCACAACCTCCCCTTCCCATGGCTCGAGAAGTGGGCGGTCTGCTCGTCTGCACCAATTTTGGTGGGCCAATGTCATGTACCTCAGGTGTCGGCTTTGCGATGCACGAGGGCAACATTTGCACGAAAGCTAGCTGTGCTAGCGAGAGTTCTCTAAGCTTTAGCTTCTTTCTTATTGGCTGAGCTTCCCACGATGCCTGATTTAATCAGGGCTCTAGAAAGCCCGATTCGCAAGACCAAATCCTTGCCTGTAAAACCAAACCCCCCCCGATCGATTCCCCCTGTGCCGCCCTTTGCACGCGCGTATTCCCCATAATCTCGTACACATGTTTGCAGCTGGGGAACCTGTCTTTCTAGACATTTCTAGACGTTCATTTAGGATTGCTAGTCCTATCCTAGCAACTTCTGAGTCGTACATGTCTTCGTTGGGCTGGCTAGTAGGCTAGCTTACGTTCACCCGCTTCTCAAGTATCCTCTGCAGTTGGCATGTCCCCAAAACGACCAAGGCGGCCATGTGTTTTTTGTTGCAGTCTCAGGCAGCATTTGTTATGCTAGCATCGTTGCACCTTGGCGAAAGCACTCCAGCTTTGCGGTTGAAGAAATTGAAGCGAACATTTCTCAGCCGAAGACCAAGACTCTCAGAGGACTTGCTTTGGTAAGCTTGAATGGTCGTCAAGTTAATGGGAACCCAAGGAAAAAAAACACCCTTACATTTCGGAGGGGAATATCCACCTCGAATCCGGGCTCGACGTTCACAGTCCGCAGGCCCAGATCCGCCGCAAGAACGATGAGATGAAAGAGAAGCTGGAGCAGGCCGTGAGTTGGGGAGCAGATGGTGCAACTCCCTCATTCGGGTCCAGTCATCCGCTTTACCCAACTTCTGAAAACCAAAGGGTGACCAATACTTAAAAACCATTGAACAATAAAATAATCAATTGATCTTGTGAGGCCAACGGCCAATAAAAGCAGAAATTTATGTTTGTTCTCAGCAAAAATTGCGCTATCCACCTTCAGCTCTGGTGTAGCCCTGCGGGTGCCCTTCACCCTGGGTCTCCTCCAACCATGTTTTACACGGAGACTCAATATGAGACGAAACATACCGTGTTTCTGTGTATCCCGTTGTGGCCAAATGAAGCCCAAACGTGTGGCCTCTTTAAACTCGGTGGCTCCCAGCCATCCGGCCCCTAAGCTTTTTGGCTTTTTGGTGCTTAGTTTTGGATTTCCGTATTTCACCCACTAAAAGTTTCGCTTTTAGCCGGGGATCTGCGGATGCCCCCCAGCAAAGGGAGGGAGGCTTCACAGCTTCGGCGCTCGCGGCAGTTTTTTGGCGGCAGGCGACGTCGTCTCCCTCGGCCAGCGGCCTGGAGGAGCTCAAGCAGCTCTTCGTGTGCCCGGAAAGCCCAGCCGACCCAAAACCTGGGTGTGCCTTTTTGTTAAACTTGGGTGTGCCGGAAAACCTTGTCGCTCAACTTGGGTGTGCCTTCTTCTAGGTGCCCCAGTAGTGCACTTTTACCGTTCCTTTTTTGGGGAGGGTTCCCCGACTAACACAGACTATAGAAAAAAGGGTACCCTTAATTTGACCTCTCTACTGGAGGACCTAGTCTTTGTTGGGGGGCCTGTTTGGGTAGATTGTGATCAACAAGATGTTCAGATTCCGAATGTAGGGATAAGGGAAACGAGCGCCAGCAAGAGGTTTTCCACTAAACCCACAAAAGTGGAACGTTTTGCAGAGGGGTCAACAGCAACCAAGTTTATGGGTGGTTTAAGCTTCTTGAGGTCCAGCGCGTGGCGTCCCTACCCTCACCCCCAGAGATGTCAGCTGAGAAGGGGAGCATTGGAAGCATCCCATCTATTTTTGTGTTAGGGGAAATCAAACATGGGTGTTTTGTTTCCAAAGATATCCTAGGTCCCCCAGTAGTGCTCTTTTACCCTTTTTTGGGGGAGGGTTCCCCTACTAAAATAGACTACAGAGAAAAGGGTACCCTTATTCTAACCTCTCTACTGGAGGACCTAGTATCCTTTTTGGATTGGTTAAACAAAAGCGGACACCACGGAGGCTTGAGTTTGCGAGCTCATCCATGATAAAGGCGGATCCTTTCTGAAAGATCCCTTATCTTCGGTGAATCATAGAAACCACGAGGAATCATAAGATCATAGTGAACCCAGGTGCGTTTGAGACAGGGACGTGGCTGTGTCTTTTCTTGGGCAGCAATCTTGCTTGGAAAGGGACTGGAAACGATTTCTTCAATTCATGGGCTCACCTGAAACAGGCTCACCATGGCTTCTTTGGTAGGGAATGTGGCATCTGACAAGTTACCCTCCCACGCAACTAGAACCTGAAGGCTTTACAGGACAATGTTCTTAATGTACCTTCCCTCAGGTTCTATGTTAGGATTCTAGGGGCTGATTCCCCATTCCTTTCAACCATCGATCTTTTCGATAACCAACCGTTTTCCCTGGGTTTCCGGAGTTGTTCTAGAAAGAAGGATCCCTGGGTTCAGAATGGGAAAGGTACCCTCAGAAGGATGGTACTTCGCACTGGACACCCTGTTGCCCATTTCGAGTTGTTCCCTTCCCGTACGCGGTGGTTTGAACTTCTTGAAGGGGATGTGGTTTTTATGGTGGTTTGGATCTGGAGTTGAACCCCTAGCTTGTGTGGAGGGTGGATGGGAACCCCCTCCTTAACCACCAAACCACCAATCCAAACCACCAATAGGAGGGAAGCTGATTTCATGCAGTTTGGCCTTTCTGGAATCGTGGCATGGGCGGCCTGCGCTGCAAGCCCGTCAAGGCCATACGTCGCTGGGCCGTTGGTGCCCCGCAGGGTTGGCCTCAAGCGGTAGCTTGCCACCGCTTCCCGATTACTTGGTCATGTTCGCGGACAACACGGTCAGAGAAAAGAAGAACCATGCCATCCTCGCATTTCTGCTGCATCTTACGTGCGCCAGGAAGTTCGAAGCTGCGTCGCTGTTCATCTCCAGATGGGCCACACCCACGAAGATATCGACCAATTGTTCGGCATGATCGCGAAATTCGTCGAGAGGAGCTGGAATGCGACTTCTGGTGTTCGGATGGCGCTTGGATCCATAGGCGGTTGTTTACACCCAGCACTGCTTATAGTGAAACATCTTACAATTTCGCCCTTACATCACGCGTGAAGGGTACCACAGAGACCAAGACTTTGGTAGTTGAATGCATATTGCCAGGATTAGCAGTGTAGAATGCTTGCGTTGCACCCCGCATGCTCGGGCCCTAAGCCGTACGAGCAGTTTTAGATAAGTTGCTAGGTGTTGCGTTGATGAATGCCAGTTCCAAGAGGAATAATGCTCCATTCTCAAGATAAGTGGTATGTGTCACCTCAAAGCAGCCTGAGAATGCACACGTGACAGTTGGGGCTGGTTCATGGATGGATCTCCCCAGGCCCCAATGCTGCTTACACATGTTGCACAGGCACCTTCCCTCAGAAGTCCCTTCGGTCTATCTTATTCGTACAGAAAGAACCTGCGACCTTGTGGGATTGGACCAAAAGGAAACCAAAAGGAAAACCACAATTTTTGGCCCCCATTTTTGACCCACCCATTTGGGGCATCCACCATTCTGGTAACTGGGATCTGCTGGGCTCCTTTCTCGACACACAGAGTAGATATTCCCCTGCACATTGTCAACCGAGCCTCATAATGCGGCTTCGTTGCGCAAAAGGAGACTCCTCTAAACACGGATGGTGTTTGTTGGTTCCATGCTAACGGATCTGGAGTGGGAGCCAATTGAACAAAACCTCAAGGTCGCTATTTACACAATTGCTGTACGCGAGAGAGATAAAGGGAGCGCTGTCCAAGCTGCATTGATCTATGGCTTGATTGCACAGTTCCCAAAGCGATCCACATTCCCAAGCTGATTGCCGATGTTCTGAAGAGACAACGCCTTGGAAATGCCTTGCAGGGTGATTGTCAAACCCACACAGCTCTATGGAGCGTATTGTGAAGCTCCTTACTGGCTTTACTAGGAACAGGATTGTGCATGGAACCCTGCAGTCTGTGGGCCAGCGCAGCTCCAGACGGGAGATCCCATTTGGGGTAGATGCACCACCCATTTTAGAACCTATTTTAGTGGGGATTGGGATGTTCACTGGGGGTACGGGATTTTGACCCATGGCCACATGAGATGCCAAAATGCATGCCGTGTCCATTCACTTTGTGCTGCCGAGTTTACGCGGCAACTCTGCAGCACGCCTTGTCCTGCGAAGCAAGGACCGGTGCATTCACAGTTTCGGCGCCTGAGTGTGCCTTAATGTAAACAAACGAGGCACAATCAAAACCCTGGAAGGCTACTATAGTAGGACACACTCAAAGAAGAAATCACAGGTGTGGCCACATGCTTGATCCTTTGCATGGTTTTCGCTAGACCCTTTTAAGTACCAGGTCTTGTTTGTGACTCAGATTCCAGTGACCTCACAAGGAGTGTTTGCGACCTCGCCGATAAGAAGGTATCAGGTATTTTTCATCGGTTTCCTTGTCCAGATCGGTGGCCATGAGCCCGCTGAATGATGTTTTTCAACGAGAGAATCCCCAATTAAAAGCCATACCTATTTGAACACTCAGGGGTTACGTAAGTTCAAAGCGTTGTAAATGTAACAAGGGTGCATGTATGTTTGTGCATGTGTAGGGTTGCAGCGGTTTTGGAGGCTTGCGAGCATCGGAGATGTTTTGCCTCGTGGCCTTTGGAAGGGGACCATTTCAAGGCCTCGGAAGGGAGGCAAAGGCTGAGTCAACGGGGCATGGTTTTATAGCCAGGTCAACTTCTCCAAACCAATCAGCTGGAGCCGTTCGACGTTCGGGAAATGGGCCCTTTGAAAGGAACACGGTCCAAACCAGGGCCCCCAAAACAACGTCAGGTTCCATGGGTAACTTCTCCGGACTGGTCCATCCCATTTTCCCCTTTGGGAGTTGGTTCAATCCCCTCGATCCACCTTGAATCAGCGTTTTTGTCCCTTGCCCACAGGGCAGCAGGTGTGTACCTGTTTTTAGAAAGTTGCAAAGGAGATAGAAAGGGCACCTTTTGCAAAGGCCCCCCCCGTAAGAAATTGAGACATAGAGGTATGCTTGTACAATATTGATTTGGAATGACTCGTTCCGAGAGGCGGGATTGGAATCCCATGAGAATCAACCACCTTGGGTTCACGGGCCAAATTCCCAGAAGCGGCGTTCAGTTCGTCGGTAAAGTTGGAGCCCTCTCCGCAATGTGTGTTGCAAGGCTCTTCCTGCGATGAATGTCCATGAACCACTTGCCATTGGCAATCTTAAATCACATGTGTGCCCTTTGCCCTTTTGCTGTTCTTATTGTTTCAGAAATGTAAACCAGTAGAAACATACATTTTTGCGGGAGTTAGTCTGGCCCAGTTGCATGGGCAAAGATTGTTGATCCCATCATACATCCAGATCCCCTAACGAAAGCAAAAGCAGATCGTGGTTTCAACGTGTTTAAGCAAGGGGTTGGCAGAACCACTATGTAAAGGGTATACGATGTATTATATATATATATATATATATTATATCGAGTTGCCGGAAATGGCTTGGGTGAATGCATAGAGCAGAGATGGATCTCGCCAGGATCCGTGCCAACGTCTTCTCCCACATCGTCGGCTTCGGCACATTGCTGCGCAGAGCCCAGAGCGGAAGGAGGATGTTTAGAGGGCTTTGTGACACACTGAAAGCTTAAGCATGAGCATAGGACCATCGAACCAAGCAAGCAGCCATCTTACTTTAACGGTCGTATCTTCCGATGTTCCGTCAGGGAACCACAGGGGATGCTTTTGTGAATTCAAGCCGAGCGAAAGAGGACCCCGCGGTTTTGGGAGCTGCCTCCGCGGTCCGACTTCACAGCCAGAAGAGTTGATCCTGACATTGCTTGAGTTGCGGAACGTGCTCGCTTATCCAAAGCGGATCGATCTCTTTAACCTTTTGGTTTCCCTGATCCATGCGAAGTCCAGGCTCCACAAGATCAAGCTGTTGTTTTCAGGCCCCTTAGGCAAGCGAGGCCATCGTAGTGGGCATCGAGCGATTTTTCCGTGGCCAATCCGGCTGTGGGAGGAGCAACTCGGGAGGCGTTGGATCGGGGGCACCTCAACATTGTGACTTTTGCTCTTTGGTGTCCCGCTGCCGGCCCCAAAAAGGGTGCCAACTGAAAGGAAGGAACTGTTGAGCTGCACCGTGCTGTGACTAGGCGTTCTTTTTTGGGGATGTTGTTTTGGGCCGAAGGGGAAGACAAGAGGAAGCCAACCATTTTGGCGATTTTGAGGCAACACGTGGGGGATTGTTTTCTGACGCTTTTCCAGTACTGCCCAATGCACGGAAGGCTCTGCAGGTTTAGTCCGGGCTCGACTGTAGAGTTCTTCAAAGGCAATTCCTCTAGGGATTATGGATTGGGCCCTCTATTTCAGTAAAAGGAAACAGAAAGGACGCCAACTGAACGGAAATCCATCATGAGTTCCGGAGGGTGGGAGCAGCTGTTGCTTGTGCCTTTTTTTCGTTGTCCCCCTTTTCGAGTTGTTTAAGGGCAAACATGCTTGGAGAGCAGGCTTCACAAGCAGAACTCGCGGCAGTTTTTTTTTTTCCCCCCGGGTGAAGCTGTTCGCTCTGTCATGCCAGATTCGCAAGAAGTGTAGTCCGTGTGGTCTTTAGTGTACACTGCAAGGAGGGGTGGAACATGTTTTCAGGGACACGCCCGGATGACTTGATGTTTCCTTCCTTCCTTCCTTCCTTCCTTCCTTCCTTCCCTCCTTCCCTCCTTCCCTCCTTCCCTCCTTCCCTCCTTCCCTCCTTCCCTCCTTCCCTCCTTCCCTCCTTCCCTCCTTCCCTCCTTCCCTCCTTCCCTCCTTCCCTCCTTCCCTCCTTCCCTCCTTCCCTCCTTCCCTCCTTCCCTCCTTCCCTCCTTCCCTCCCTCCGTCCCTCCTTCCCTCCTTCCCTCCTTCCCTCCTTCCCTCCTTCCCTCCTTCCCTCCTTCCCTCCTTCCCTCCTTCCCTCCTTCCCTCCTTCCAGTTCCTTCCTTCCTTCCTTCCTTCCTTCCTTCCTTCCTTCCTTTCCTTCCCTCCTTTCCCTCCTTCCCTCCTTCCCTCCTTCCCTTCCCTCCTTCCCTCCTTTCCCTCCTTTCCTTCCCTCCTTCCCTCCTTCCTTCCCTCCTTCCCTCCTTCCCTCCTTCCCTCCTTCCCTCCTTCCCTCCTTCCCTCCTCCCTCCTTCCCTCCTTCCCTCCTTCCCTCCTTCCCTCCTTCCCTCCTTCCCTCCTTCCCTCCTTCCCTCCTTCCCTCCTTCCCTCCTTCCCTCCTTCCCTCCTTCCTTCCTTCCTTCCTTCCTTCCTTCCTTCCTTCCTTCCTTCCTTCCTTCCTTCCTTCTTTGGGAGTAGGGGCAACAAACGTAACGACCACACGGGTCGGCGGCTCCTAGAATTCTGTCAGCTACTCCTGTGTAACGTTGGTGTGTCTCAGAGTTGGCACCCTGTCTGGGTTGCTTGAAAACCGAAGGGACATCACCTATTTCTTGGGACACTATTCCATTTGGATTACGTGACTTACTTTTTTCCACAAGGTTGGGGTAAGTTGTTTGCACTGAACACGTTCTATGAAAGGTGAGCCTTACACATTGACGGCCCTTTTGGGTTAGTGTGGGGTTACTTGAGCCATCCTTTGCCATGGATGAGGGGGTTTTACATAGGGAGGCAGGGTATTGAACGTCGGTGGTTGTGCTCCGCAGCTTAACATGCAACAAACCTCCATTTGTCGAGGAATAGCCTCTTTTTTTTGGGGACCTTCATGTCAGGTTCCATTTGATTTGCAACCAGGGTTACTAAGCACCAGCATTTACCTGATCGCCTGAAGTAGACCAACCTCTTCGAGCTGGTTGTCCGGCAAGTCTATGAAAGCGGGAGACGACTCAAGAAATCTCATCATCCGGTATCACAACTTTTGTCAACACATTTGATATTCACAAGTGTTTGCATTGCTTTGGCGGTGGGTTGCTTTCTTTGCGTTTGGATGTAACTTGGGGGCGTTGCATGTGTTGTGTGTCTTGAGAATTGTAATCTTTCAGCTGGAGTCTGGGGCTCAAGAATAGGGTGTGCCCCAAACCCTCCTGGTTTGTGTAGGCACAAATGACCGCAAAATGTGTGGTCCCATGGACCCTTAAACTTTGAGCCACATCCACACTGCTGGTATTATTTGTTTTGGAGTTCTCTGCAAGTTTCTGAATGGGAAAGTTAGCCTTATTTTGACAGTCTTGGGGGTAGTAACCCTGTTGCAAGGATTTGCAGGGGAGTTTAAATGCGGCTTTGCCTGGGGTGGCGAAGCAATTGGCCAACTCCCGCGTACAAAGCTGGCTCCCGGACAACAAACTGGGGCGAAATTCAGGTGGCTCCTGACGACCTTCTGGAATCTGTGGCTGTACTTTGGCTACATGTTCGCGCTTGCCTTAGTCCGCGGGCCCCTTGAACGTGATACTGTAGTCAGAAGTATGGCCCACATTGGTGTCAGAAGGATTTGAACATCACCTTGTTGGCTTTATTTTTAGGCCCCTCTTGGTGCGGTGATTTGCCCTCGGCGTCCTCACTGTTGATGCCCATGATTTTCAGGCATCATTTCTTTCACACGCAAGCACGCGTGTTGTTTTTGTCCATGAAGTTTGCTGCTTGTTTTGATGGTTGATGTCCATGGGATGAGATCTCGAGTCCCACCGCTGGTGAGCAACCCATGAGCAACCCTGCAGATTCCGCCTTCTCAGATTCTCAGAGCCCCAGATTTTCAGGCGTCCCCTTCTTTCAAGTTGTTGCTACATTTGTCTACCCGTTGCAACATTGTTCAACTTGTTGCACTTTGTCAACTTGTTTCACTTGTTTGTGTTTTTTTTTTTGAAATAAAAATACATAAATAAAGAAAGAAGTAAGTAAGTGTCGTTTGTTACATATTTTGGTGTGTTTGTGCGTGTGAGAGCGTGCGAGTGGCCAGCCTGGGGGGTGGGGGAAGGATTGCCGGCGGGCAGGCGTGCGGGCGTGCACGTGTGCCGGTGCCTGCTTTTGTTCTTTTCCCTGCGCGTGTGCGTGTGCGTGTGTGCATGCGGGCTGGGCGGGCGGGCCGGCAGGCGTGCGGGCTTGCGGGCGTGCGTGCTCGTGCGTGCGTGCGTGTGTGGTGTGTGGTGTGTGTGTGTGTGTGTGCGTGGTGTTGCGTGTGTGTCTTGGATAGTAGAAGTACTCTTTTTGCTTGGTTTTGATTGAAGAGGGAGGGAATGCCGATGACTTTGGGTCCCTCAGTTTGACCCCAGTGCCCTTGCCCCATGTTTTGGAGGGTGTTTCCTCTAAAGTTCAGCAAGCAAAGCAAGTCGGTGCCTTGTTCTTCCCTTACCCACAGGAGGTCTTGGTTTTGAGGAGACCCCCAGTCGACCCCGGTTCGGGAGGCAAACATTCAAGTGAGGCAGACTTCTTTGCACCATTTAGGGGGTAATTTTGAGGACGTTTATCTACCGGACCCAGCAAGGGCCTAAACTCACAAAAATACACACATTCATAATGCTGACGGAATCTGGTTGTAAACTCCCCCACTCCAGTGATTTAGGCCCTAGCTTCTCCGGTTCCTTTCGACCTCACCTCTTGGGCGAGTGGAACACCACGTGAGAGGTGCCTGGCGTGGTGGCCTTCCATGAAGCTGCCGCAGCCCGGGCCCCGGAAAAGCGTAGGGTCGTAGAGCCCAGGTAGGGTCGAAGCGAGATGGGCGGTTTTTTTTGGCCGGCCTTTCTGAGATTCTGGGGCCTCGGAAAATCTGGCGGCATGTTAGGAAGGAGGAATGAAAGAACACCACCCATTTTTTTCAGCATACGAGTTGTTGCGTGTGCAGATGTGGGACAATATTTTTACGCCGGGCAATTCCAGTGTTTCGGGAGGGGGGGTTTGGGGGGTAACGTTGCCAGGAGGATCCCTAAGATGGCCGGTGGTCACTAACACACCGAGAAGCCTTTGGTCCCCAATAACCTTACCCAGTCCAATCATCTGTATAGGCAACCAAGAGACCCTTCCTTTTCACTTTTAAATCCTGTCGGAGTCCCAGAAGGCTGTGTGATACTTGTTTGCTCCGTTTTTGTCTTCTGGTTGTTCTCATGTCTCCCCCGCATTCAGATTAAAGCCCATCCATGGTTCGTGTCATCTACTTCCGGGGGTGGTTATATCGGGGTCCCTGGGATCCACAGGTTTAGTCTGTTGGTCCACTGCCTGTGTCAGTCTCGGTGTAACCGGCCCGGTGAGTTGCTGTTGCGCTTGCACCAAAAGTTCATCTCGGACACCGGAAAGGACGACTTTTTCCGCTCACCAAACTGTGTATAGCTTGTTGCACAGGGGGTTGCAGCCGAGACAAGTCACTGACTGGCGGTGAGAAGGCCGGCATGGCGTTGAGGGATGGCAAAGTACATTGGCGTCTTCAGTGCGCCACGTTCATTTGCCCCGGGTTTTAACTATCCGACTGGGCTTCCCCCATTTACATCAATCCGAAGCCCTCAGGGGGAGCTGCCCCGTGTTTGCGGCTCCTTAGGCTCAACTGCCAAAAGGGGTGCCCTTGTTTCGGATCTGGCCTGGCGGTCTGAGTTGGGGAGTGGGGGGAAGATTCGGAAAATTGCCAGGATTTCAACAAAACCGAAAGGATACCTGATGACTAGAAGTCCAATCAACACCAATTCTGAATTGAGGGGGCTCGGAGCATGTGTCCATGGAAGAAAACATGTTTACCTTTTGGACCTGTTGAAGTAGGAAACAAAAACACTCGCGGGGTGGTGAGTGCCTTTCATTCTGTCAGTTAATTGCTCATGTCAAATGTGGGCGTGTCTTTTTGGAGTTGATACTTTGTTTGGCTTGTTTGCAAGGGAGACTCAAGGGACATCACCGATTTTGTTGATTGCACCTCCATTCGGTTTAGTGACCTGTTGTTTTGTTCTAGGTTTCAAAGGGGATTGGTCAGATATGGTAAGTATCTGTTTGGCGCCGCAAGACTTCAACAGCTCTAAAAAGGTCATCTGGCAAAGCCCAGTGGCCCAGGTATTTTTGTTGACCTTTCCTGGCGAAACGCCTCGGAAGGAAAGCAATCATTTCCGGGAGACACCCGATGAAACTCAATCAGGTCCTTAACCCTGTGGCTTGCAAGCCTCTACGTCCGGACCTCCGCGGTCCTTCCTTCTTGAGAAATGGGGGCTTTGTTCTAGCTATACCATAGAGGCCTAAATAAAGGGAATGGAGTTGTAAAGTATTTTGAACCCACATAGAGTCATCAGAAGATCATCATGATTTAGCCCCCTACAGTACTTGACCTGTATTTTTCGGGATCCTTCATCTCAGATCATTAAACACCCAGATTCGCTTTTTCTTGAAATAATGATGGGACATGGGGAATCAACCCCGGCCTTCAATTCAGCCCATGGAATCAACAAGCTCCAACCTGGTGTCGGAATTTGCAGGGGAGAGTTCTCAGGGTATGTTTCTTTGAAGCAACACGGCACATAGAAAGTCGTCCGAGGCAAAGAACAAAACACTCCCATGACGAGAATGTGTGAAAGTCTCCCCTTCATGCTCTTGGATGTTTACTGGGGCAATCTAAAAAGTCCTAATTTGGTGTAGGAGTTCCTGGGGAAGGTGGCAAAGGCTTGCTTCATCACTCCACTCAAGTGGTTTCGGAGAACTCATTTTTCTTTGAGACGTGCCAGTCCTTAGAGGCCTTGGCTTTCAAAACGGCGGGGCTCTTGTTTTTGGCCAATCAAGTGAGTCCGCTGGGACGTGAGCCGATTTGCACATTGAGTTGGACTCATTGGAGCCCATACAGGGATGGATCTCAAAACAGAAAGTGTATTTACGCAATCTGAAAAGCGCCCCAACCCCAACCCCACCGCTCTCACCCCAAATCCCAACCCCACTCCCCCCGAGGGCGAGAGCAGCTACTGCGGGGCTTGGGTGACGGCCTGTGCGGCGAAGATCTCCATCCTTCTGGCCGGGCTCGAGTCGTTTGGCAAGCCCGGCCATCCGGTAAGCCTTGGCTCTTTTATTTTATTTTTTTGTTTTTGTCAGCTTTTTAGTTGGTGTAGTGGTTGGATTGGTCCTTTTTCCTTCATTGTTTTGTTTGCTTCTGAGTTGGTGTAGTGGTTGGATTTCGGTATTTAAGCCACAAGTTAGTCACTTTGAGCGGGGGATCTGAGGACAGCCCAGGTTCTTTTCTGATTTCAGTTGAAATGTGGGTGTGAATTTTATTGACGGACCCTCTGGTGGACATCATTTAGGTGGGGATTGGAATGCTTAGTGTAAATCAGAGACCGAGGCAGGGCAGTTGCTCATGCTCGAGAAAGAAACATGTTGGATTTGGCAGGCCAAGTTGGGTGGTTTGGCAGGCAGTTTGCTTGAAAGTGCCAAGACAGGATTTGTAAAAGAGCGGAGATTTGAGAGACTCGTCTCACTTTGCGGTTTCCCACAGTGGTCCATTTCAAGCAAGGTCCCCAAGCTTCACCCAGACCTCCAACGGTGCCCTTCCTTCCCTTTTTTGTATTTTCTTCTTCTTCTTTTTTTTATTGGGGGGGGGGGGGGGCGTTAAAAATCAAGTGTCAAAACAGGGCTGGTCCTTTTCCTGTGGAAATTCCACTGGAGGTTCGGGCGATACTCTCCCCATCCAGTCCCGCAGATTGCGGAGATGAGTTCGGGGCTGTTTGGAGGCTTCGGCTCTTCCAGACCAAGGCCTTGTTTTTGTTTCCCCTTGTTTTTCTCGTTTTTTTTGTTTTAGTTTGTTTGTTTGTTGTTTGTTTGTTTTGTTTTAGGTTTGGTTGTTTGTTTGCTTTGTTTTAGTTTTTGGTTTCTTTTTTGTTTTGGGGGGGCGGGTGTTCTGAAGGAAGAACGAACACACCCACGTGCTTGTGCCTGATTTTGAATAAAGGAGCCCTCGGAAAGGGCGAGTAAGGAAATGCACCCAGCTAAGTGTGTCTGTCCAAAAGAGATTCAACCCGCATGGTTATTTCGACGTTTCTTTGGTTTCTGTTCAAAACAACTTTAACAAGAGGTCCTCTTCCAACCCACCAGAGGATTCCTTGCAGAGGAACATGGTCTTCCAGGACACTTCCGCAGTGAGGTTCAGTATGCAACTTGAAAGGGATACTCTTCCAGGGGGGTTTTGGCAGGTTCTGTCTATGTGGAAGGGAGACCCTAAGAACACCCGTCAGACAGAGCCTGCCAGGCCCTGATGTTCTTCTTCGGCAACGCCGCCTCGGCTGGTTTGAGAAATGTTTCTGCGCAATCCCAGGCCGCCACAAAAAAAACGCCGGAGACCTTTTAAAGGAGATGGCTTTTTGGCCCAAGCTGGAACATCTGTTCGAAAACTGTCCCCTGTCTTAGTGGGAGCAACCTCTGAAACTTGGGGAAAAGTCGCATGGTTCGGAATTCTCTTGGACCAACCTGCCAGCTGTTCAATGGACCTCCCCTCCCAAATTCAAAAGGAGTACATTCTAGGAATTTAGTTGCGAGGAGCCTGAAGGCACAGGCTGAGCGTTACTAGTGTATATTTGTGTGATTGCATTCTTGCGTGTTCGTTCACCGCGAGCAATGGTGTTCTATATAGAACAAAGTCATCAAACGCCACCAATATCATTGCACCAAACCAGAACAAAGGCGTCAAGGACCACGCCAACCTTCTGTGGTGGGTTGTGCTGGTTTGGTTTAGGGCTGGTTTAGGTTGGTTCAGGCTTGGTTTTGTTTAGTGTTGGTTTAGGATTTGTGTTTAGGGTTGGTTTATGGTTGGTTTAGGGTCGGTTAGGTTGATTCAGGCTTGGTTTAGTGTTTTCAGGGCTGGGGGCCGGGGGGGCCGGGGTGCGAAAAACCGGGGGGTGAAGTGAAACTTGCAGAAGGCGGCAGTCTGACATGTCCATTCCCCGTATGCGCAAAAGGCTTATTATTGTGCCTTTTGTCAGAGAGCTCGCTTTCAATTAGTATATATCTATTCCACCGGGGGTTTGGGGGCTGGACCATATTATATATAGTACATGTATGGAGGGGGTCGCACATGGGTTCACACAGTAAGTTCGTTGACATAACAAGTTAACTCCAGGTTTGTACAACGCATCGATTTCGCACATGGATTAAACGCCAGCGAGGGCTTTTTGTACAACATACAGGTTCACATGAGGCGTTCATATATCCGGATGGTTCCGAGGCAGAAAAAAAAAGCGATGACCATCAGGTTGAGTGCATGGACCCTTGATGGAGAACTAATCAGCTTGCTGGTGCGATAGGGAATGACCTTCCGGGTCCTTTAAAGGAAGCCAAATCGGGGATGGCTTTGTCTCGTTCCATTTTTCATTTCCCGCCTATCGAACCAGCAAGTTACTTCTTTCAAGGGCTCCTTTGCGCCAAGCCATGTTTTTTCGAGGCGTGCCCGGCGCAGATTTTGGGCAACTGGGATGCAACACTCGGGGTTCCCGAAGTTGAACATTTTGAGTTTGTTGAAGTGTCAGTCCAATTTCAAGATGAGCTCACTGGTAAGACGGGCGCATTTATGATACATGGCCTTTGCTGGCAGGTTGCCATTTCAGGTTTTGGGATTGTTGTAAGACTTGCAATACGTGACTGTTGGGGCGGTTTCTTCTTCAACCACCCTGTATCTAGGGGTTGATTCCCCATTCTTTTCAGCCATCGTTCTTTTCAAAAACCGGCGGTTTCCCACCTGGGTTTTTGATGGTTTCCTGGATCCCTGGGTTCAGAATGATGAAGGTACCCCTAGAATGTAGATGGAAATTCACCGACGTCTTTGGACGTGACTTTCGCTGCTCAGGTCTTGACGGTCTTCTTTTGGCTGTCGGAGACCACCCTCAGTAGGGGATGCCCAGTGAGATTTCGGGTCCCGATCGGCTGTGTGTGTGTGTGTGTTTTCAGGGCACCCCTGTTTGGGGCGCCATAAGGAAAGGACCTGTTTGGGGGGTACCCCTATTTTGACACTGATATACCTAACTCCTGTTTTCTTGTATTCTCGGGGTACGCAAGGGCATTGCTTTGTAGAGGTGTCCCACTGGGCATTTAAGGAGGATTGGCCAACGCTCCATGTTGAACAGCCCAGTTAATGTTCACCAATGGACCAGAGCCCAAAATAGTGTATTTAATGCTGGTTTGGGCGGCAACAGCTGAGGGCAGGCCTTTTCGGTGGGTTTGCTGGATTAGCTTCTGATGAATACACATTTCTCACCCACTATGAGTAAGAATCAGTTTGCATTCCATTTGTGGAGATCCCGTGGGTTTTAATCTCCAGAGTGTATGCGCTTTGCCGTTGGAAATGCCAATTCAGTCACAGAATTAGTTGAGGCGACGATGTATGCCTCAAATTGGGGTTCTTCTTGTTCTATGGCAGTATGGGCGTGTTTGTGAGGGTACCCCTTTTTGGTCGGTTTTCAAGGGAAGCCAAAAGGTCAACTACAATTTGGGGGTCCCCCGCAAAACTAGACCACGGTTGGCCCGAAAGCAGAACATCGCAAGCGAGGTCGGCCCAACGCTGCGGGATGCGTTCTTTTTCCCTACACGAAGCATTCGTGAAGCAAGCGCGAGACAGCACCAGGCAAGGTGCTCTGCGCAAACTGGTCGGTGCAAGTTGGTCTGCGCAAGTTGCTCTACGCAAGTTGCACTGTGCAAGTTGCTCTGCGCAAGTTGCTCCGCGCAAGTTGCTCCGGCAAGTTGGTCCCTGCAAGTGGCTCCCTGCAAGTTGCTCTGTGCAAATTGCGCTCCCTGCAAGTTGCTCTGTGCAAGCTGCTCTGTGCAAGTTGCTCTGTGCAAGTTGCTCTGCGTAAGTTGCTCTGCGCAAGTTGCTCTAGGCAAGGCGCTCTGCGCAAACTGGTCGGTGCAAAACTGGTGGCTCTGCGCAAGTTGCTTTAAAATGCAAGTTGCATCTTGCGACGCCCGCCCGCGGACCAGGGAGGAATCGAACCCGCGACCCGCCGGTTCCGGGAGCAGCGCGAACCACGACAACTCCCGACCAGTTCGAACAACAAAAGTCGCAAAAAACCTCGAGTTTTTGCACCTCGACCACGCCGATCCCCGCAGAGGGTTGCGCGAGCACCGCAGAAATCGCAAAAAACCTCGAGTTTTTGCACCTCGACCACGCCGATCCCCGCAGAGGGTCGCGCGAGCACCGCAGAAATCGCAAAAAACCATGGGTTTTTGCACCTCGACCACGCCGATCCCCGCAGAGGGTCGCGCGAGCAGCGCTTAGAAATCGCAAAAAACCATGGGTTTTTTCGACCACAAACAACCATGGTTTTTTCCACGCCGATCCCCGCAGAGGGTCGATTTTCGTGTAGTGTCGTCGGCACTACCCCGCCGCCCTAAGAAGAGATTTTAACTCCTCGCAAGTCAATTGCACTTGACTCCTTGCACTTGCAACTTGCACTTGACTCCTTGCTTGTTTCAAGGAGTCATTGCAAGGAGTCATTGCAAGGAGTCATCAAGGAGTCATTGCAAGGAGTCATGCAAGGAGTCATTGCAAGGAGTCATTGCAAGGAGTCATTGCAAGGAGTCATTGCAAGGAGTCATTGCAAGGAGTCATTGCAAGGAGTCATGAGAGCCATTGCAAGTTGCAAGGAGCCAAGTGCATGGAGTCAAGTGCAAGTCGCAAGTGCACGGAGTTAAGTGCAAGTTGCAAGTGCAAGGAGCCAAGTGCAAGGAGCCAAGTGCAAGGAGCCAAGTGCATGGAGTCAAGTGCAAGTTGCAAGTGCATGGAGTCAAGTGCATGGGTTCAAGTGCAAGTTGCAAGTGCAAGGAGTCATGTGCAAGTTGCAATCCTTGCCATGACTCCTTGCAATGACTCCTTGCAATGACTCCTTGCAATGACTCCTTGCAATGACTCCTTGCAATGACTCCTTGCAATGACTCCTTGCAATGACTCCTTGCAATGACTCCTTGCAATGACTCCTTGCAATGACTCCTTGCCATGACTCCTTGCCATCCTGAAGCCTAGCTACTTCGAGCTCCATGACTTCTGTTTGAGCCAAATCTCGATGATCATCCGCAAGATGCCACATAACAACCAGCCGTGTGCGCCATGCCCGTAAATAAGCCGTGTGCGCCATGCTCCCCGCAACTTCTTTCATGATGAGAACTCCTTGCGTCAAACTCCTACAGGGTGAGTGGCCTGAAAGCATAACTCCCCACGATGTGCGGCAAACTTGTTTAACCCCGGCCTGGCACATGCGCAAGTTGCTCTGCGCAAGTTGCTTTGCGCAAGTTGCTCTGTGCGAGTTGCAGTGTGTGCAAGTTGGCGCGAGACAGCACCAGGCAAGGTGCTCTGCGCAAACTGGTCGGTGCAAGTTGGTCTGCGCAAGTTGCTCTACCAGTATGCAGGAAATAACTTACGGGACTTATAAGTTACTTATACAACTTATAAGTTACTTACGATGTAGTTAACTTAGGCAAGTTAAAACGAACTTATAAGTTCACCCTAAGTTACTCGGGCGGCAGCCGCGGCAGTATTTTTTTCCACAACGCATTCTCGGCACGGGTGCTGAGTTCGCGCTATATACACATGAGGCCACCAAACAGCGGCAAGCTCATAACTAGTGCAGGCAGATCAAATCCTGGTCGCACGTGGTCCACATAGCCGGAATTGTAGAGGGGGCGTCCACGCTGGGCCGCGTTAAGATCTCGCGCCCAGTGTGCCGCCAGACGGAGCCGCACGTGGTCAGAGTGGCGCCTCAGTTCGGCAAGTCGAAGCCTCAGCCCGCAGACTTGCCCGCTGAGACACTGGCGGACCACGCCGCCTTGCGAGGGCCAGAGGAGCACGTCAGCAGTTGTGATGTGTTGGCGGATCAGTTTCATCTCCGTGAACACGCGCAAGGAATCGTCCCCCAGGCGGTGCCTCAGCTCCGGCGGCGCCGCCTGAGAAGGACCAACGCATGCCCAGTCTTCGAGTCCATGCGTCGCCGAGCTGACGACCCCGGCGTGCAAGATGCGGCCTTTGCAGCAACAGAGAGTTGCTCAAGCGAGCCTTCTGATGGTCAAGCATGCCGCCCTTGACCACGCGATGCTTGGACTCATGCGCCTCAGTCGAAGGCAGCCAGCCGAGCTTAAGAGCCGACTCCGGCAAGTGCAGCCTGTGGTGGTGCTTCGGCTTAACAGCCGAAGGCCCGTACGCTTGGACGTACGCGGCCTGATGCCGGGCTTGCGCCAGCTCCAAGTCGCGCACCGCTGCCCGATCCTGAATTGGGGTCGGGCGGTGCTTGAGGACGCGAAGCGCAGCGCATGCGTCCCTCAAACGTGCAAAGGACTCGGTCGCCTTGGCGTGCTTGCCCGAGCGGACCAGGCTCTGCGCCACATAGTAGTGGCAGACGTGCACCACCCTTGCGGTCTCGTGGCCTTGGCCTTTATAAAGCTCCGCGTCGAACATCTTCCGGTCCAGCAGACGCCGCAGCTCGGCGCTGGCGCTTGAGTGGCCGCGGCCAGGTCGGCGCCAGTCGGCCGCGCAGGCCATGTCACGGAAAGTCTCGAGTGTCATAATGCCTTCGGTGTCCGCCAAGTCATTAGCATACCAATTTCCACGCTGGCAACTCCGTTACAGAAGTAATTGTGCAGCACGTCGTTGCAGGCTGAGCTGGGAGGAAGATGCCCGCGGGCCGCGGGATCCAAGAGAAGGCTCCCTTGCACGTGGGTGACGCCCAGCAGCGTCTCCCTTTCTTTTCTGCGAGTCTTGCTAGCGGTTTCAGCCAGCTCCTCGGCGGCCAAGAAGTACTGCTCGTCGGAGTACCTCTGGAAGAGCGCAACATCATGGGCGTCGATTGTCTGGAACGGAGACGCCGCCGCCTGCCCTTTGTTCAAGACGTTTAAGCAGAAGAGGCAAGGCTTCAGGCCTGCGGATCCCTTGGTTGACCAGGTAGCCCTCTGGGCTTCCTGATCAGATAAAAACAATGACACCGGCCGGATCCTGACCCAGGTCGGGCCGGATGGCAGCTCCAGCACGAAGCCGGACTCGTGCGACTTCGCATGCACAGACTTCACGACCGCAGTCATCAAGCGAGTCATGCCGCCAGCGATGCGGTCGATCACGCTGGCCTGAACTGCAGCTACAGTTAACCACGCGTCTTCCTTGCTCAGTGATGCATACAGCTCACGGAATGAGAGGTATATCATGCAGATTTTTTTGACTTTCCTCACAGCCAAGACGTTTCCGCATATGAGCTCGTCGTGATAAAGCACGCAGGACAGCCTCCGGCCCTTGTCCCGCTTGAACACGCGGTCCAAGACGGTCGCCCAAGGCGGAGACCCGCGCGCGGCGTAGCGGAGTAGTTTCGCCAGGACCCCGATGAGAATCGGGACGGGCTTGCCAGACTCTCCCGCCAGCTCGTGCCGCTCATAGCAAGCCAGGGCGTCCGCGGTCAAGTCAGTGCGAGTCGTGAACGCACTCGAGCGCGACGCCGCAGCTCCATCCTCCCTGAGCTCTCCAGCGATATTCCAGATCGCCCGCGCTGTGTTATCCGAGCAGCCAGGCAGTGACAGACAGCGACCGAAATTTTCCTCCTCCTCATGACTGAGGCGTCGCTTGCGGCCGGCCATGGCCTGGGATGGATGGACGAGAGCGCCCATGACAAAAGCCAAACGGCATCGGCGTATATATAACAAGCGCAGCTACAAAAACCCAGGCGTGTATATGATATATATATATATTCATGTATATATATATATACTGATGAACACACGGGGAAGGAGAAAGCGACATCCGCGTGCGTGGCACCCCCGGGCACAGTATAAGAAACAAGGAGGCGGGGACAAGCTTATATATAATATATGTAGCGGCAGAATGCATTTTTTCCCTCTCGCAAGCGAGCTTCACGGCTGCAGGAAGGCGCCCGCGGCCGGACCCCGCGCGTCGCTATATTATCGCGCACAAAACTGAGCCGCTCGAGGTTGACAGCGGCGGCGGCCGCAGCCAGCGAGACGCGCCAACTACTCGCCCGGAGCGGCTTCCTTCTCCTGCTGCTTCCCGCGGGTGCGGCGCTTGAAAGGCTTCGCCGGAGCCGCCGCAGGCATCGCAGGCGCCTCCGCAGACGCCTCCGCCTTGGCCGCGGCTCGTGTGGCCTTGACTGCCTTGACAAGGGCTCGGCCTTCCTTGAGCAACGCGTTGCAAGACTTGAGATGATCTTTCAAGTCCTGAAGGCTGAAAGGCAAGGCCGCCACCAGGGCCCCGGCCGGCAGAGTGCCCGTGTCCAGCACGTGCAGCAGGTCGGTGCTCGCTTTTGCCCACGCTGCGAACTGGGTCTTACACTCGGACAGACCCTTGAGAAGCTCAGGCTGGTCGACTCCCAGCTTCTGGGCGCTGTCCAGGACAGCCTGTGCGCCAGCGGTTGCCGGGGTCAGCAAGGCCACAGCCTTAGCCGCCCACTGCTTCTGCCTAGCGTTGAAGCGGCCGGCAGCAGCAGCGTCCTTGGCTTCCTGCTTGGCCTTCTTCTCGGCCGATGGGGAGACAGCGCGCCCCTTCTTGGCCGGAGGCCCTGCGCCCGCAGGCTTCGGCTGCGCCTCCGGCACGTCGAGGTCGGGATCGTGGGCGGCGTCTCCAACAGCAGCATCCTCCGGAATGGCTTTGCGCTTGCCGCCGGATTTCCGCTCTCGGAGGGTCTGCTCTTTCTCCATGATGCGCCGCTCCACGACTTCGACGATGTCCCGAAAGACTTCGCGATGCAGAGGCACCTTGATGACGTCGCCGAGGATCGGGCAGGTCCATGTGGGGCATTTGTCCAACTGCTCGTCAGAGTAGCCAAGGCCGAGCCAAACCGCTCTCGGCTTGGAGTCCGTGATGGTGGAGTGCTCCTGGGCCGGAATCGTTTTCTTGATGGTCTGGTCGACCAGGACGGCTCTGACCGTGGCCCAGTTGTACCGAGAGCCCTCGCCGTTCTCGCGATTTTTTTTGAAGAAGGCTTTCTTGTCATCGATGGTGAATTCGGCAAGAGCGTCTCCGGCGTTCCGGCTCACCATGCTCTTCAGGGACTGACAGGTCCGGCACTCCCAGGAGACACCGGAAGATCTTCCCCTGGTGTCGTCCACGGACGACTTCCCGCACAGGGAGCAGCAAGCCTTCGGGACCGCAGTCTCCGCCATATATATAGTGCGGGCGGCTGGGAGAAAAAAAAAAGAGAAAAACTAAGGAGTCTCGAGCCGAGAGAGCCGCGGTCGATTTCAAGCGCAGGCAAAAACTACAAAAACATGCGCCGACAAATGCCGACAAATGCCGACATTGGCCGACGTCAGGGGTTCCGGGGCCCTACTACTACAGCACATGACGCCGACATGGGGGGGTGCTATAAATCCAGGGTGCCAAGAAAACCTCGCCGACAAATGCCGACATTGGACAATTTGAGTATATAGTAGGAAACACGACGAGCCTGGAAAAAAAACCGCAAAAGAAACCCTCTCCGCCCCCCCCCCCCCCAAAAAATAGAAGAAGTAGGGGGCCTGGGGGGAAGTCTGTTGAGGGTTGCCTGTTATGGTTTTTATGTTCATCTCAAATCTATGTTCCCCCTTATTCGTTTTGAAAAGAGGGTTTTTAGGGAGCTTATTTATCGTTTTCGTTAAGGTAATCATTTGGGTAATTGCCCCCCTTGTTCATTGTTGGGCTGGGGGCAAACATTTTTTTCATTTGAAAGAGGTAGCCCTTTTAGTAGTTATCAAGTTCTGGGGTGTTGGCGGTGCATTTGTTTTGTTAGTATGTTTCTCATTAATTTTCATTTATAGGTTAAACGTTCAGTATAATTATAACATATAAGATTTTACATGTTATTATTATAGTATGATTATAATCCCAATACAGGATAATAATTTAATTGATTTGTCTTACTTCTTTCATACACCATTTTAAAAATAATATTAATATCTCTCACTGTATTTTGAACATTAAACTTTTTACTTTCAATAAATAATTTGATATTTTCTTTAACATCTTCTCCTTTCTCTTGACTATAACCCAACATCCATAATATATCATCAATCATGTCATATTTTCTTACTGATTTTGAGAAATGCTCTAACATAACTATGAGGTGGTATTTCATACACAGTTAAAAATATCAAAATGTCATCTTCAACATTTCTTTCATCTATTTTTTTAATCTCCAAAAATTTTCTATCATATTTTGATATCGTCTCCATCTTCTACAAGTTCTACATACATCTTCTTCACTCAGAGCATAATCAGTAATATTATTTACTATTCCATTAGGTAAATTCAATTTGTATAATTCCATATTTTCTTTTTTGAAGTGGCAACAATCATAGCATTTCTTATTAATATAACTGTTGATTTCATCATAGTTCATTTTTCTCTTAATATGTTATGCTATTTTTTCTTTAAGTAGTTTTGGCTAGGGGTTGCTGGTCGGCTGGTCTGGGTTTCAGGTTTAATTTAAATGTCTTAACCTCATTGTTAGATTATAAAAAACTAGGTTTAATCATATTATAATTGAATAATATCATTAAACTAAATCACTCACGCTTTCCATCCACCTATTCCATCCCACCAGAATTCAATAATTCGCATCTGTCCATCTACTAGACTGTCTTCTGTGTTTAGTTTCCGTATCGCTCCTGATAAGATATAGTGATTAATAATCATAGCATTAAACTGTCCATCTCGGTTTAACTTTTTACCACAGTCTTTTATGATGTCTTCATCTGTTAGGTTTTCATACATTTCTTTCAAGATGTCAAACCTAACAAATGAGTATATTGCCATCAAGTTTAATCCGCTATTATCCCTAAACCTGTTAATAACATCTTTCCAGAATTCTTCGTTTTCATCAACTGGTGGCAAAGGGTGTCTTTTGATGAAATCCTTTATTTTGTTTAACTCGTCATCTAGTTCCTTTTTATAACTGTCATTATCATCATCTTCTTCGTCTGATAGCACCAAGTTTGATAAGTCAGCAATCACTCCGACATTTTCTAAATTCAAGTCCTCTAATCTTATTTCAGTCATATTTTCACTTAATATAATAAGTTAATATTTCTTTAAGTAGTTTTTATTTTATGTTAAGGGGCGGGGTTTTTATTGATAATTTTCTAACAATTTAATATAATGGCGAGATTAACAAAAGACCAAATAATCAGCAACATCTATTACGACTTAGACGAGGGTTTCGTAAGCACACAAGCGACACACAAGAAGGCAAAGGAAGAAGACCCAACAATAACATTAGACGATGTAAAGTCTTTCTTAAAGAAACAACCAAATAAACAAATCAAAAATTATAGAGGTACTAATTCCTATACCGCTCCATTCGCGCGATATGAATATCAAATAGACATAATGCATATGTCACCTTTAGCAAAAGACAAGATCGTTCCACAGTATGCTTAAGTCGTGATTGACATCTTCAGTAAATTAGCTGATGTAATACCGATGGAGGAAAGAGACGGAGAGCACGTTTTGAAGGCGTTGAGAGCAAGCTTTAAAAAGATGGGTTATCCGATGTCCGTGTATTCTGATGACGACGGAGCGTTTGCAACTAAAAATCAAGCTCAGGATTTCTTCAACAGTGAAGGAATAAACCACATCGTCACGAAGACCCACGCAAATGTGGCCGAGCGTTTTATTAGAACGATGAAAAACAAAATTCACTATAGAGTTAGGTTTAACAACATGAAATGGACCGATGCCCTAACGCAAGCATTGAAACAGTATAACAGCACATCTCACTCATCAACAAGGATGACACCGTCTGAAGCACACAAGGACGACAATGAAATAAATGTAAAGGTCAATCTTAAACTACGAGAAAAAAACAAAAGAAAGTATCCCAGAATAGTGGAGAACGACAAGGTAAAAGTTTTTCAAAAGAAAAGGGGTAATTACACCGACAGAAAGGAGTATAACTCTAAATGGTCTAATAAAATATTCAATATCGATAAAATTGAATATGATATTATGGGTAATAAAACTTACAAAGTAGCAGAAATAAACAAACCGATTTTGAGACACGAAATTTTGTTAGTTAATGATTAAACGTATTTCTTGGTGTCTTCTTTATACTTGACTTGATAGTAATCCAGACTTGATTGTTTAGGTTCTTTTATTATTTTTTCATTCAGTTTTTTAACATAAATGTTTCGTTTATTTTTGTATTCGCTACTGTCTCTATCTACTTCTTTTGCTTGATAATTGTTATTGTTATCATATGTAGGTTTAATATTCAAGCTCTTTAAGATTTTCAGTATGTTTTCATTTTTCTCCAACACTTTTTCTAATCTTGGAAACAACAACTCTAAACTACTGTCAATGTTCGCTAAATGTTCCTCCATATATACTAAATTATAAAACTAAACTTTTAAAACTAAATGTTGCAATTATGTTAAATCTACTCTTTAAATACTATTTTTTCATCATTTGTTTAACAGTTTCCTGAGTTTCCTTATCGCCACTATCGGATGGTGATGCTTGCCGACCCCATTTAAAAGTTATATTATGAACATCTGTTTCTAAGTTTATACTGTCTTTAGTTTTATCAATATTCATTTTCTTATCATTTCTACTTATTTTGAAACTTGACGGAATACACGAACATTTACAG